GCAGTAGTAGCAGTAGCCGTAGCCGTAGCCGTAGCACTAGCATGCAGCAGTGGTAGCAGTAGCAGTAGCAGCAGCAGCAGCAGCAGCAGCAGCATCAGCAGCAGCAGGATTAGTAGTAGTAGTAGTAGTCGTCGTCGGCGTCGTCGTCGTCGTCGTGGTGATGGTGCTGGTGCTGGTGCCGGTGGTGGTAGTAGCGGCAGTACTAAGAAAATTTTGGAGTAGTCGTCGTCGTAGTAGTAGTAGTAGTAGTAGTACTAGTGTCTGTCTCTGTGTTTGTGTGTGTGTGTGTGTTAAACTGTTTTGGGTTTGTTTGTTCGTTCGTTTCTTCGTCAGTTAGTTAGATAGATAGATTGTTTGTTTGTTTGTTTGTTTGTTTGCTTGTGTTGTTTGCTGCCGTTGTCGTCGTCGCCGTCGTCGTCGCCGTCGTTGTGGTTGTTGCTGTGATTGTTGTTGTGGTTGTTGTTGTTTCTGTTGTTTTGGTTGTTTTGGTTGTTTAGGTTGTTGTTGTTGTTGTTGTTGTTGTTGTTGTTGTTGTGGCGGTGGTTGTGGTCGTGGTTGTGGTTGTGGTTGTTGTTGTTGGCGTCGTTGTTGTTGTTGTTGTTGTGGTGGTGGTGGTGGTGGTTGTTGTTGTTGTTGTTGTTGTTGTTGTTGTTGTTGTTGTTGTTGTTGGTGGTGGTGTCGGTGTTGTTGGTGTTGTTGTTGGTCTTGGTGTTGGTGTTGGGGTGGGTGTTGGTGTTGGTTTGTTGTTATTGTTGTCGTTGTTTTTGTTGTGGTTGTGGTGGTCGTCATCGTCGTCGACCAACATTCCGTGGACAGCAATGGCTCCAGGCGCATCAGCGGATGCGCGCAGTGTTCCCTAGTTCCCTTCCGTTCCTTTCCATTCCTTGCCTTTTTCCAAGTTGAATGGCTTCCCTTGTGCCACAGAAGCCGTTGACGCCGCCTCCACGCAAGGCACCTCGCAAGCTAACTGCCACCTGGACTCCTCATCAGGCGAGCACAACGAGATCCAAGTCCAGTCCATGTCCCATGCCAAAGCATGTGTGGAGCGTCTCTAACAAGACGGATGCTCATGACACGCGGTGCGTGCCAGAACGCAGGGTGCACTTCCAGGAGGCCCCGCAGATCATCTTGTTTCTCAGTGCTCCAGACGACGAAAAGGCGGAAGAAGTTCCTTTCGTCCGCCCTCTCCTCACAATTGTGGAGGAGGCTGAGCGAGACGGCGGAAACGGCGAGGTCCATCAGCCAAGCTGTTGTTATTGATGTTACTACTATCAGTCTTATTCTTGCCACCACTACCATGTGTGGTATTCCTACTGTGGCCACTCCTCTTAGTCTTCAAACAGTTTGATGAGGCCGTGGGGTTCTTGGTTCTTATGTTCGGCGTAGAGTGTAGAGGGCATTTGCCGCGGACCTCGCCCGCCCGGCACGCACGGCTGTCCCGCAACCCTAAACCCTAAACCCTAAACCCTAAACCCTAAACCCTAAACCCTAAACCCTAACAACTCCGGCTGTGGCACGGTTGTTCCCACAGTCCCACTGCGACCCCATCCTCTGAGGACGCTGATTTCGTAGTCGAATTCAATACTCTGGGTTTGGGGTTTAGGGTTTAGGGTTTAGGGTGGCGTTCGTGAACTTGTGTGCGTGCTCCGTCCAAAAACCCTTGAAACCCTAAACCGTGCTCATTTTGGCAGAGCGTGGCGTGGTGTCGAAATCCCGACCTCCTAAGGCATGTAGAATTTTCAAAAACAGTCGTGCATGCGCTATACTGGAGTGCTTCCTGCCATGATTCCGCCACGGCGCCGTGAGGGTTTTGCCTTTGACTCGTAATTATTTCCGCTTCCGAATCGTGCTCTTTCGCTGTTTGGGGCCTATACTGGCAGAATGAGCATCAAAGGTTGCTGTATTATATCTACAACCATTACTATCGCTTCTGCCGCAGGTGGCACCAGTGTCACCTCATCCAGTTCCCAAAGACTCTTGCGAAGGAGGTCTGGCAGAGCTTGTTGCGGACCCTTGGTCGGAGCAGGGGTTACCTTGAACTGAACTACCAAAACCTAATGTTGTTTGGCTATCTAAAACCGACAACAGTATAAATAGGTTATGGTAGTCTAAGGTAGGACTCTAAGAGTCAGAATTCAATAGCTTCAATAGCACTTGCTAAAAGGACAGACTGCTGCTACATGATGAGGCACAATGAGGACTACTCCCGTAGCTCCATTGCTTAGGGTGCCCTGAACCCTAAACCCTAAAGTACCCTAAACCCCAAACCCGAAACCCGAAAAGGGGACACACTGCCAAAGCAAGGAGACGAGGGCTGCAACGCTCCGCAAGCTCGAGATGATGGCCTGAATGCGCGACGCTTAGGACCCCTAGACTTTAGGTTTTAGGGTTTCGGATTTACTGTTTAGGGCTTAGGGTTTAGGGTTTAGAACGGATCGGGCATAGAGGGTTCAGATCAGGGGAGCAGGTAGGGTCAGTAGCAAGATAACGGTGGTCATGAAAACCCTACTGAATGATAGCACCTCTAACCCTACCTATACTCACCCATGAACATTCAAGCCTCCAGTGCCTTCCGCCATGAAAGCCATGCCGAGAGGCCTTTTGCAAGGAGAGCGCTTTTGTTTGTTGAAATGGATGTCCAGATACCCAGCTTTCAAGCAATCACCTTCAAGAGTGAGAATCGAGGCTAAGACTCGCTGTTCACATCGCTACGAGATGCTACGAGTCAGTCTCAGATGGCAGTTGTCCCTGAACAGTGCCACTGTCCTGGCCAGGTTGGTGGTGTTTTGAGGCCCACAGGTCTTGAACCTGTATCGCCCATGCTTGTACAACTGTCTTGAAGCCAAACTCACAGAGCCGAATACCCCAGAATTAAGGAATATATCTTAAATCATAATATTAAGACCCCTATAACTTCAGGTATATTCCTCCTTTAAGGGGTATTGGGCTTTCTGGGACGTTACGGTCTTGAGGATGAGTCCTAACTGCTCATTCTCCTGCGTGCGTAATACGGGGCCTCGAATGACTCGAACAGAACTTTCGGGTACAGTTAGTACAGCTTTTACGCCTATACCGCAGAACCTTAAGGAAGAATATTGGTACTTGTTCAGGCCACAATGTTACAGCATCCCAGCTTCGAGGAAATCAGACATGATCATAGCCATTCGGCCTCCTTGCCGTGGCCAAGCTTGAGTGTGTTCCAGCTGATGGACAAACTTGACGAGTCCTGCATTGTCACTGATAAGGGATGTGTGTGTGCACACCTGCACGAATATATATATATATATATATATGTACACACACATACACACACACACACATCTATCTATATTATATATATATACACATGTATGTGCGTGTTATATATATATATATACATATGCACATACATATGTATGCCAGCCCCCATTATGTACCCACGCTTTGTGCTTGAATCGTATGGGATCGTGGTGTCCCTACAAACCTTTGCTATCTTCACTTCCATTCTTGTTCGTATCTAAAGGCCAGTAGCTTACTAATCTGTTCTTCTATGTTAGTATCAAGTGTAGTTTCACGATTACATCTACAAATGATATTGTTACCATTACCACAGTCTTTATTATTACTGTGCTTGCAGTCGCATTTCTGGTTGCTTCCTTAATGCCAGCCCATTTAGCATTTTGTACCGTGTCTTTAGACAATTCAGGGTACAGTATTCTTGCGAGTCACTCAGGGTAAGTTGCAAAGTACCCAACAGCTGCCATTCACACCATTCCATACTAACCAGAAACTATAATGTAAACATATTAATTGTTGAGTCTTACGTTCATTCACAGTCTGGTAAAACGTAAACCTGCCAGCTACTGTTACCAGAATGTTCACCCCTGTGCTGGCACTATCACCAACATACACAAATTCTCTCAATAGGGCGATGACGTATTCAGCAAACACAGTGTTCTTCAGGAAGAGCTGAAAGGGGTTTGCTCGATGAAGACCAAAGATAGTTCGACATGCTTTCATTAAGCTATGTACGTCTCCTGGCCATATTGTTTTGGGCAACGAGTTTGTTGTTGTTGTTGTTGTTGTTGTCGTGCTCTTGTTTTTAGTATCAGCTGAAAGTTTTACATGTTTGTTCTGGGTTTACTTCATCTTAAGCCCGTGCTCTTTTAGGTCATTTTCGAACTAGGATTTGGCATTTGTTTGTCAAGCTGTTCTAGAAATTTGGCACTTAATAAATGATGGCCACTAAACACTCGTCTATGGCAGAGTTTCGCTGTGAATTGCTGATATTGCGCTGCCTGGGGGTCTTTATTGTCAGCACCAGTCACCGATTCAAGACACCGCCCCGATGCAAACGCAAAGCAACATAAGTAGGCATGCTACACTTTTGCCTTTGGACGTATGTATGTTAAATCAGCACACTTTCCTGATAACACTAGCTCCCCACAGATTGGTTCAACCTTGGCTTGCTCAAGACCAAGAGCCCGATAAAACCATGAAACTCAGATGTCATGCTGATGCAGATTTTTATTTCCCATTTGAGACAAGTCTTTATACTTTTGACGACGTTCAGTCGGTCTAATCACGAGTTTGATAGTTTTAGCAGATTGAGCGGATTCAATACGAAGTTGCTGTTGGGCACACTTATGTACTCTTGCGATGTGATTGAACATGCATGTAAGGTACTTGCTTATTACCAAACACAGCGACAGTAATTTATTAGTGTCAATGCAAACCGCAGCGATCTGTATTCCAAAAAACCAACACGTACAAAATTGATAAAGCGACCGGGAACCCGAATCATCCGATTCATTTTGATTCGGGCCCGGATCCAAGATCCCAGATCGTCCAGAGGTCTTGCCCGGATTCTTGGATCTTGGATCCGGGCCCGAATCAAAATGATTCGGAAATGGTTCGGATGATTCGGGTTCCCCGGCCCCCCCTATACAAGGTTCGGCTTCCAAATCATGATGATGACAATAATGTCTGGTATTTGACGTATGCCACTCATTATTCTGC